AAAAATGTTTTGATATAAAATTAGTTATAATTTAGAAAAAACGTGAATATTTCAAATGTATGAATAGCTATTGTGTTGGACGTATGGTTACGATATGACCAGGAGCTAGAGTTGCAAAACCCCCTCTCCGCCCCCACCCTATGGGATTTAACATGGGATTACCGCTTAAGTCTATGGCTATACTTTAACATAGGGCTAATGTTATCCTATGGGTATAGTTAAGTCTAACAATTTTCAATGGGTTTCTATGGGATTACAGCTTATTTGTTTTGCATGTTTCTTTATTTAATTATTTAGTGAGTTTTGAGTTTCAATTGTAAGATATACTTATGATTTGTATTTTTAATTAAAAATTTTAATTATTATGATTTCATTCCAACCGATTGTCTGAATACTTATAATCAATCATTTAATTATATTTAATCACACTTTGTTTATAACATTATTTGTTAAGTACTTATCATTGCATTCTCTGTATAACTATTGTGTAAATTATTATATAACAACAAAATTGTTTTTATTTTCACTTCTTTTGTACCAAAAAATTCTTATTTTTTTTGCAAATAAAGTATAAAATACGAGAATATTTTAATTATTTTGCTTCAAATGAAATCTATATTTATTACAAATTCAATGGTTAAAAAGAAATGAATAAATAATTGTCTTAAAAAAGAGAACAGAATGGGAACCGATTGTGAATTATGTGTGTATAAAAACCAGCTTCGGTGTCGTAATAAATCATACAATATATGTGTTCAGTAGACCTAACAATCTGAAGACTCTTTAATTTCGGACATTTTTTGATCATTTGCTTTAAATCGGATTTATTGTAACCAAATTTTTCTGTGTATCTCATATCCAGCGATTCCAGTGAAGGTTGTCTTAAGATACGGGCCAACCATTGGCTGTCAATCCTGAAGGAATGTACAGAGATTTCCAGTGAATGTAGTCTATATTGTTTGGACACAATCTGTTCAATCAGTTCCAGTGGGATGTCACGCAACGCTATGGATAAGTGTGTCAATTGTGGCCAACCATTCAATGCTTGCAATTGAGTCCAATCGATGACCACTTCATTGGTATTAGTTTGAAAAAGTCTGAGCTCTAAGTGCAGGCGTTTTAATCGTCGCATGAATTGAATGGCATTTATTATCTTCACACTCAATACCATGTCTTCTGAATGAACACGAATTGAAAACTTCTTGAGTTTCGCACACTTCATACCAATTGTCTTCAGATTATCATAGAGTGAATACTGAAGAGTTTTTTCAGTGGAAAAATTTAATTGTATTTCTCTGAGTTCCGGGAATTGAGTCAATTTTGTGATCAATTGAGTGACCAGTGATTGCGAACCAATCGATGGGTCGATTCTTTTGATAGCGAGACAACGAAGTCGTGTCTTATAGTAATCAATAAATATTTGAAATCTTTGGGCATTAAAATCATTGTCTTTCCAAATGATATGAATTGTTTTCATGCGATTGAATGCCAGTAATTGGTTGTCTTCTTCGATGGTAAACATGGATTGCAAGCCATTAGTCCATAACTCAGATAAATTGGGACAATTGGAGAGATGTGGCAAAAGGTTCTCTCTATAGTACTTTAATTCAGTGATCATTGGACCAAATGTGGTGAACATATACTCAACAAACTGATGGTCTGACTCGGAATAGATATCGCGGAAAAAGTCAATACTCTTGAGAGACGGCCAACTGTTCCGCAAGTGATCGATGGCCTCAAACAGTGGTCTCCGATACTTCTCGTTTGTATAGCCATGCATTTCGCAAACATAATAAACTCTTTGAATGTTTGGACACTTCTTCTGTAAAATTGCAATCAATTTCTGACACAACTCTTCGTCGGAAAGACAATGATTTGCAGTCTCTTTGGCTCTGAATTTAACGATCATTTCTTCGTCGATATAAATATCATTAAATGTGTCAAACATTAAGCGCTGGAATCGTTTGGACACACATTCGTGAAGACATGTGTCTCGAAATGTTGGAATTAAAAGCCTTTCATATTTCTCGCCGACTGAATGGTAAGACAATAAAAGTCGGACCAAATCATCACCGAATCGATCGAAAGAGTCTTTCGGATAGTTTTGAGACTATATTTAACAGAAAATACTATTTAATAACTGTTTGAATCATACATTCAATTGATTACTGTTTTGTTAGTTTTGGGATTATTTGTGAATAAATCTCGAAACCGATCACAGAATCGATTCATTACTTAATGTCCAACACTTGCGATAAAATTGTCGAAAATTAATAATTTTTAAATAAATAAATTGAATAAACGTTTAATTCAAATAATATTAAATTTGATAAAAATGTATTGATTGTTGCAATGATTTTTATCTGGTGACTGATTTTACACACAGTATTATAAATATACGTTGATTTCAACGTTAAAATGACTGCAAATATGAATATTAACAGTATTTCTAACTTCTTATTGTGTTTAATAAGTATTGTTCGCACGGACTATAAGTTTATTGAATTTATCAATACTTGAAAACACGTTTTGTTTCTAACAATACAATACTTTTACGCAAATAATTCATTGAATTATTTAATACACGGATGAGTGAGGGCTGGTTTGGCAGCGATTCTTTGCTTTGGATCAATTGACCACAACTTTGCGAGTAAATCAATGGTAACATCACTCAAACCCGGTATCGATTTGATGATAGCCTCGACTTTAGTGGTTTGGTTGCGACGGAAGTCCTGAAATTTGAGCGAATTTTCATTCTTGTCGGCCGTTGAAAATTAATACTCATTTTTAATTATTAATTAGTAACAATTGTAATAACTTTATGTGAATTTTAATATCGTTACAATCTATTAAAGTAAATACTGTATAAATATTAGTCCTTTTGATTAAATGCAAATTTTCTAGAATTTATTCTCATATTTGTGTAAAATTTGATGAAATTATTTTCACGAGAAATATTTAAAATGAAATTATAACTAAAATTAATTATCAATTTTAAATTCAAATCAATACTATTGGTAAATATCAGTTAAAATTTGAAAACCGATTACAAGTGTTTGACATTAAGTGATGACACGATTGTGTGATTGGTTTCGGAGTTTAAACCAAAAGAATCACAAAAATAACAAAACAGTAATCAATTGAATGTATGATTAAAACAGTTATTTAATTGTATTTTTTGTTAAATTAGTCTCAAAACTATCCGAAAGACTCTTTCGATCGATTCGGTGATGATTTGGCCCGTCTTTTATTATCCTATCATTCATTCGATAATTCATTCGATGACCGAAACAATACAATATGGAAGAGATGTCGACACGAATGTGTGTCCAAACAGTTCCAGAGAGTAATATTCGACACAATCGATGAGTTAAATATTGCAAATAAAGTCATCTCAAAACTAAGAGCTAATCATAAAGACCTGTCGGACAAAGAGTTGTGTCGAAAATTGATTACATTTCTGCAGAAAAAGTGCTCAACGATTCAAACATTTAATTTTGTCGATTATTACCATTACTTCCCAACCATTCCATCACCATATTTGAGACCATTGTTTGAGGCCATCGATGAACTCCGGAACAGTTGGCCGTATCTCAAGACTATTGCTAATGACTATAACGGAAGAGTTACAAATTTTTACGAAAGTAATGAATTAGACCATCAATTTCTTGAGTATTTGTTCACCACATTTGGTCCGATGATCACTCAATTAAACCACTATAGAGAGAACCTATTGCCATATCTCTCCAATTGTCCCAATTTGTCTCATCTATCGATTCCAAGCTTACAATCCATAGTTACCACAGGAGAAGACAATCATTTATTAGCATTCAATCGCCTAAAAAAATTTAGCTTTCATTGGAGTGAAAACAACTTTAATATGAATGCATTCAAAGTGTTTGTCTCTTATTATAAATCTCGTCTCCAATGTCTGGAAGTGAAAGTTATTCATCCATCCATTGAATCGCAATCAATGGTCACTCAATTGAGTGAATTTCAAGAACTATATGAACTAAAACTACATTTTTGTTATTCCAATGCCATTCTTCAGTATTCACTCAATGATTGCTTGAAAACAATTGGCATAAAGTGTCTAAAACTCAAAAAACTTTTATTATGGGTTACAACAAACGACACGGCATTGAATGTGAAGACAATGAATGCCATTCAATACATGCGGTCATTAAGACGTCTGCACCTATGCATCCACTTGACTGATGAACCAAATGAAGTGATCACAGATTGGACTCAATTACAGCCATTGAATCGTTGGCCACAATTGACACACTTATGGCTCACTTTATGGGACAACAAAATGTATGAACAGATTGTGTCCGCACAACACAGACTACAGACACTTGTGTTTGACACGTATGGTATGCATGAGGTTATTATTGACAGCCAATGGTTGCGTTGTATCTCAAGACTATCATCACTGGAAAAACTGCTCATTTCAAGCGAACAAAGATATGGATTCAAAAAATCTGATTTAAAACAAGTGGTAATTAAATGCCCAAAATTGAAGACAATATTGATTTCGAGCTCGAGATACGGTTCTATCAGTTTTGATGGCAACGGCTTTCATATTGAAAATGGCAGTCAATTGTCCCCATGGTATCAATGGTCCAAATGGTATAAATTCTGTGCTCGACTTAAAAACACTTATTGGTTTTATTCAATATAAAAGTTTTTCAAACATTTTGACTAAAAGTGTAGTTTTTAGTTTTAATTCACATATTTATGCATAAATTGAGTGAAATATTCACAACAAATAATAACTATTAAATTTAAATTATTTCAGTATTTTTTTTTATTAATTTGTAAAAATTGATGAATTTGTTTAAGAATTGAATGAATATTTGTTTAAAGTTTCATATTATTTTATTTAATAAAAAAATTAATACAAATTTGTTTAATCAAACGATTGCTTTTGACTGTAAGTTTTAATTATAAACAAAAAATAATTATCAGAAATATTTTTTTTAAACTTTTAATAAAACTCATTTGGAAAACACTTCAAACCGATAGACAAACCGCCAAAACGAGTCAAATATAGGAATCGGCAAAAGTTCGGAAAAAGACACGATAATAGCGGCCAAAATACCAGAGCATTGATACCTAACGTTCGGCTCATCGGTAATAACAGCCCGTATGAGAGCGTCGACCACTTCGTTGGGATCGCGAGCTCTTCCCACTTGTCTCGCGTACGAAGACTTGAAGTTTTCCACACTTTCTATTCCAAAGTCTTTGCGAACCGACGGCGAAGTCTCCGACCAAACCTTATCCTGCAATCGATTCACAGCTTCTAACTGTGCTATCGGTGTCCTATCAGTCAATATAACACAATATATTAGACCAAACTTTTAAATGTTGTAATAAATGCAATGAAATACCGATAACAAGAGGGCTCAACACTGATTACTTTGACGCCAAACCTAAACATCTCTCTCCTTAACGAGTCGTTAAACGCGAGTAAAGCGTATTTCGAGACACAATAAGCGCTGTAGCCATCGATGGCCAGTCGGGAGGCGAAGCTCAACACATTCACCACTCGTCCG